CTGACACAATTAATTTTATTTGAAAATTTAAAAATCAGAATCAATCTCACTTTTTTTTTATAAAAAACCATCCGCCCAATTATACTGAAATGATGAGGGGTTAGGCATAGACCCCTACCTCATTTATTAATATTCAAAAGATACAAAAGGGGAGTAGGGAGGAGTGAGGAACTGAGGATCAAACTGCCAGCTAGAGTGATTATCCACCTTTAAACTAAAAGAAGGCATGTATCAAAGGATTAACACAATGGTTTGCCTTGTTTCTACAAAACTTCCAAATTAAAGCCCATAACTTTAATTAATTCAATTTTCTAAAATCAATCATAGATAAACAATGGCTACATTTCCCATTACTAATAATACAAACAATTTTAAAAACAAATTCTAATAAACAAACTGTAAATGTATTATACTGTCATCACCAATATGATTGTTCCTAATTAATTCCAAAGTTCCTTTTTTATGTTTCTCAGAATGAAATATTTGTAAAATAAGACATCAAATTTCTTCCCGATCATTTATGTCATTGCCTGTTCTTACTTCTTAGGAACATTCAATTTTTTGTCAAAAAAATAATAATATATTAGTCTGTTATAGTATTTAAGAAATTAATTATTCAAACATATTTTGATGTTTTTATTTATTTATTCTATAAGGATTATTCGTTCTTAAATTTCTGACTATATTTTAAAATACAATGACAGGTTATAAAATAAATGAACGAGAAAATTTATGTTTGAACTTTATGTCATTTTAAGATATTCTAAGGCTAAAAGACTAAAAACAGAGAAAAAAAAATCCTGAGATAATCTATATTTTCTTATGAATTTCATATTTCTATTATATTATGTTTGAACTGAGAAAAAAATTTCATATTTCTATTAGAGAGTAAAAAACCAAATATAGATTATGTTTGAACTTCATATTTTCTTATGAATTTCAAGATCGAAATATATGTTTAAATTACTACTAATGCCAAAACCTAGAGAATCCAAAAATAATCTATATTTATATTTTATATTTATTTATATTATATTAAAAGCACGAAGATTTATAGCAAAATGTTGTTCATTTTTCTTGCTTTTTAAAAAGAATTTCATACTAAATAAAATTGTGATTTTTTTGCTTAAATATTTAGTGTTTTGAAATTAACTAAAAGTTGGTTATTAAATCTTTTTCTATTTTAAGTATGTGGGACAGTGGGAGTACTAGTTTGCACACATATTGTACCTTTAATTTATGAAACTTTTATTATTTCCTTAAATTCATTGATTAATAGGTTCAAGCTTTATTCAATGAAATTAATTATTTTTCATGTAAAACAAAGTCACCTACTCCTACTCATCATTTATCGAAGTAGAAACAAGTTATATGGAGGAAAAAAGTGATGTTAATTAGTAATATAAAGATATTGAAATAGTTTTTATTCAAAGCAATTTCAACACACACAAATCTAATATTTAGGACTTTTTCAATATTAATATTATTCATGTATTTGTTCTAAAAAATTTATTATTAGTTAATTTCATCTTCATATATTTATAACTAGCTCATAACAGTGACTTTTAACTTATTCAGGTTAAAATTGAAAAAGAGTTGTAGGGCACTAATTACAAAAATATATAGGTTATATATGTAAAAATGTATCCTCATTTTGTTCATTAATTTTTAACTATGTGAGTCCACATTAGGTAATTATGTAGAGCAATAAGAATTAGCTCTAAATTTTAATTATAGAATTATCAAATCAATTATGGATTTCTGTAATTAATCAAGAGGGTTAACCTATTCGAAGAGGCTTATCCAATTTTACACAAATTAAGCTAAAGAATTCTTTATTTGGTAACTAATTTTGTAACACTAAGTAAGAATTTGAGGTGTTTGCGGATGGAATCAACCAGAACTTAATATGATTGCAAATTAGAGATTCAACATAGAGGATCGTACTCATCAGATCTTCTCGATGAGTACACAATCAGAAGATAACAAGTCATGCAAGGACAGAGGTTACCTGAGCTCCACTTCCTAGCTAACATTGTTTCACCGAGATGTCGATGAATCTCCAACCGATAAAGCTTTTCCGAGTCGGCGATGTGGTGAAGAAGACGATTGAACACTCAACCTTACTTTCCTTTTTAGTGATTACATATTTCCTTTTGTATTGTTTTTTTCCGCTTAAGATATTGGGCCTTTATGTTGGGCCGGATCTCTTAATTATTTTTTTTTGTGTAAATATTGTATTTTTTCGTTTATAACGACGTGTCTGGCTAATTTTAATTTTAAAAAATAAGATTATCAAAGTCTAAATTTATGTTGACCATAATAGTAGATTTCACCCTAAATGAAATAGACCTTTATGTTTGCTAATATTTAGAATTTTGAAACCAATTAAAATTTTGCTTATTAAATTTTTACTTGAATTATGTATAAAAGATCCTAATATTCAAGACTTTAAAATCAGTTAAAAAGTTTACCTTACATGAATATTTTTCTTATTTGCCTAACTTTTTTAATTCGTAACCTTAAAATGAATTATTGAGTTTAATACCTAGCAATTATTCTAGCCTCTTTAAATATATAATTGTTAGTGTGGTATCTTCTTCTTATTTTCAAATATTACCAATACATAATTACCTAGAAATTATGAGACATCAAAATTACATGTTTTTCCTCCTTTAAATTTTGAAAGTTTTAATTAAATTTTAAGCATAATCTTTTTAGAAGTCCGAATTAACATGGTACTGTTAATTTAAAAGATAAATTAAGTTACAAGCATATTATGTAAAATTATAACTTCAATTGATAATTGAAGGTTTAGAGAAATTAATTAATTTGGAGCTTTATAAATCTTTTTTTTTTATGTATATATAATTTTAAATAATTGTTCTAAGTAGTGTGAACACTTGAAATTTAAAGTCGTCTATTGGTGGAGTCAATCAAATTTCAAGATTTGAAATTAAAGGTAACTTAAGTTTTTATCTGATCTTGGATAAACACGATAAAGACATACACCAATAAAATTTTGGCAAATTTTACGCAAGATACACTTAGTTTACGTATAAAAATAAATTTGGATTAAACTTGGGTCGTGCCCATTGAAGGAAAAATTATATGAAATAACAAACTATTAATTTAAATTAAATGTTATAGCCATAGTTTGTTTTGTTTGTAATTCGCAACAAACATCTCATTTTTTTGCCATCTGGTTCGGTATACAATTAGCCATTTTTGGTATACAATTACCCATTCGGTATACAAATGTATAAAATGCGTTTGTGTTTGTATAAAGCGAGAGAAAAGTGTATATACAAATACAAATACATATATTTTCGTCTTATACACTTATAATTATACAAATACATATCTTATTATACAAATTACAATGTATAAATTCATACAAAACTGAACAATTTGTATAAAATTGGATGTATCTAGCGAATTATACAAATCAAAAGCTCCATAGCAAACATGAAATTTGCTATGAAGCGCAATTATGCAAATTATAGCTATAACATACAAATATGATTTTTATGTTTGTTATATGTGAAAGTTGCTTTTTATTTTTTTATTTTTTTTTGGTTTCCCACCTGGTGTCCGGAGCCCACATTTGAGCTCCGACTAAATTCTAATCACGCACTGCAGGGCCCATTCGAGAGTGACGCTCCCAACAGATTTTTCTGATCATGCCCATTTATTAAAATCAAAAGAAAGCATACGTAATACTTGGGTCTAAAAGTGACCCAAGCCCAAAACATAAAGAAACAGAGCAGCAAAATGAAAAGAAAAGCCTACTAAATCAGAGCCTATAAGCTAGTGGCAGAGGGAGGATTTTCATCAAGGAGGTTAAAAAAATCATCTTTTCTGGTGATTATTTCTTCCTCATCGCCGGCTCGTTCGATGAATTTTTTCGATAAATATTAAGATTTATAATCTATCAGAGATGGAGATGTTGGGACTGCTATTCTTCTTCTCCCTGGAAGTGAAAGGAAAATTAATTCCCCTCCATTAAAAGAGATTTTCCTTATAAATAAATAAATAAAAAGAAAAAAAGAAAAATATACAATTTAAATTATAACAAAAATATAATAAAAATATTCTTTTTTACTTGTTTTTTTGCTTCTCACTCTCTCAAAGAGAGTGAAATGACTCTCTATGTCATGTCAGCACTTATGGGGTTACTTGATCTGTTTAAAGTAGTTCAAGGGGATAATAGGACATCCGTAAAGAATAAGTGTGTAGTTAGAAATCCACACATAGCTTGAGGGGGCATTTAAATGTTTTCTCTTTAAACTTACTTAAATTAGCTTTTATTAAAAGAATTATATTACTTTATAACTTAAAAAAAGTAAAAAGAAAAAAGAAACAAAAAAACGTTGTGCAATCAGGCATTTTAAATAAATGAATAGCAAAACTGTCCACTAATTAAAAAAAAATTGAAATGAAAATATACTTTGTTTAAAAAAAAATAAAACTGATTTATGATTATTTTTTTTCAATAGAGCTTTTTAAATTATTGTTTTGGTAACTGTAATATATTATTATCAAATTTTGCAATATGTACAATGTTGGAAACTCTAGATGTGGACAACTTTCACTCTAGGTATCATACTAGCTCTACGATGCATGTCTTGTATGATTACTCTAGTGATCATCTCTATGTTCCTCTTCTTGTTTTGAAATATCCTGTAGTTCCTCTCTTGCCAAATGTAGTAAATTGCTGCTGCTAAAGTATTTCTGTAAACCTCTGCTAGTATGGTTTTAAAAAAAATTCAACATCCAAAAAAGAACAAATTTAATAGTTTAAAACTAATACTGTGTCAACCCCTCAAATCTATCAATATATAATAGGAGATGAAAAAATGTCACATGTCAGCGCCACAAATTTTTAGAATTTGAAATAATAGATAATTTTTTATTTTTTATTTTTAAAATTAAATTTTACAAGTCCATTTTATTCATATAGAAACTTGAACTCCCAAACGGATCCGAATACATAATTCAAAAAGAAAACTAGTCGGTCCAAAAGTGTCAAAGACCAAATGAGTAATAAAAGTGCCCTTTTAAGAAAGGGTTTCCTAATTGTGCTCTCCACCTCTTACTTTTCATGTTCTTCCCACCTCCTCGAAGATGTTCTCGCTTGTTCTCTGCTTCGTTTTTGGGTGATTAACACTCTTCATCCTGATGTTGTTGGTTCTGCTGTTAAGATCAACTTTCAAAAGTAACTTTCTCTTTCCATCTCTCATATTTGTTTCTCATTTTCTCGGCTGACTCTGCTTTGATTTTTTAATGTGTAGTGCCCGGTTTGGATGAGTTCATGATGAACATCTGAAGAGAGTACGAGCCTTCAGCTCAGCAGATTAGCTCCTGAACACTTTCCTCTCGATCTCCTAGCTGAATACAGGTCATGAATGCAAATCCGACTACCTTTCTCTTGCTTTTTGCTGATTGTCATAGCATAGCATAGCATAGTTAGTTCCCCTACAACTCTTTTGCTCCTCCAATAGCTAACATCTAATTTGTATATATCATAGTTGTGGGGCCTTGTGACATCTCCTATGTATCTAAGCATGTTAGTCGTTATTGTCGTTGTTTATTCGCCTTGTCTTGACTCTGATCGACGGGATCTATTGTTTATCAATATTAAGAATCCTCCTGCCCATGCTTGTTAATTGATTAAAATTGTGAAATTCTTGCTTCTCTACTGTATATACTGCTGTATTAGCAATACAATCTGCTAGCATATTTGCCTCTCTGAAAATATGTTTAACCTGGACATTCATTTGATGTATCATCTCTTGTATTTCCTCCATCTTCTCGACCAGCTCCCATGGAATTCTCCAATTCCTTATGATCATGTTTTTTAGAACTAAAGAATCTGTTTCTAATCTTACTTGAACAAATACTTGCCTTAAGCAAAATTGTAAACCTTTCCATATTGCATGTACTTCTGCCTCCATATTCGTAGCCAAGCCTATACTTTCTGCCTCCGCATGTATTAAATCTCCCTCTATATTTCTAATGCAAAAACCATATGCGCTCTGACCTGGATTCCCTTTACTAGCCCCATCCGTATTACATGTAATCCAACCCTCTTCTGGTGGACGCCAGCTCACAATGTGATAATAAAGAGTTGGTTTATACCTTTGCAATGTATCCACCATTTCTGTCCAATGGTGTGAGATATGCCTAAGCCACATAAATTTAACCTTGATTAATTGGTGTATTGTCAATTGACATTGATAAAACATCCAGTTGTAAGAGGATTTCTTTCCATGTCTTCGTGCGTTTCTCCGTTTCCATAATTCCCATATTATGATTGTTGGGACTGCCTTCATAATTTGCTCCAGTTTATTTGACGCCTTGTGTTCCCACCATTTGAAGATGAGTTGTTGAAGGTTCAACCCGTCAATGCAAATACCTACACAAGAAGCAAACTGCTTCCATAGCTTTTGGGCTATGGGAGCTGTTAGTAATAAGTGAGACATTGTTTCCAGTTCTCCATTCTCACAACAATAGCATTTCGATACCATTTGCATCTTCATCCTTTTAAGATTGTCATATGTGGGGATTCGCCTTCTCCATACCCTCCATAAAAAGAACGCAATCTTAAAAGGAAGCCCCTTGCTCCACATTCTTGTACTCCATTCAAATTCAGCTCTTTTATTCCTGAGAATGTTAAAAGCTGATTTGACAGAGAAACTCCCTCCTGTGTTACCAGTCCACCAAGCCTTATCAATACTGGCTGGTTGCACATTAAGTTTAATATTCTCTATTATATGCTGATACATTTCTTCAGATATTGCTGCCTTCAATTTACCTTCATTCCAAACCCCATTATTAAAAAATTCTCTGACTTCTATTTCCTCCTCTTTTGCCATATCTCCTTCTGTATAGAAAAGAGCCTCTTATCTAGTCTAGTTATCAAACCAGAAACTCAAATTTTCAGCTTTGATTTGCCACCAAATATCATGTTCCACCTCCTCCCTAACATTGATCATTTTTTTCCATACATGTGATGCCCAGTACTCTTGGCAATGACAGGATGCACTTTTAAAAAAATAACAACGTTAGTTATCAAATGAATTTTGAATATTATATACCTAATTAAATAATTGTATGTATAATATAAAATTTAAAGAACAATTGAAAAAATAAAACATTTAAGAACAAAAAACATAAATTAAAAACAATTTTAAAAATTTGTTTACGTTAACTACATTAATTCTCACAAACTAATTGTATCACATTATTTATTTGTAATATCAAATTAAAATCAGTATTAAATTTATGTAATTGCATTCCTAAAATATAGGTAACTGATTAACCCTCAGGGGTTGGCCTGCTGGCAATTGACTTGAGCCTTGGGGTTTGCTCCCTTTCAAGGTCTCAGGTTCGAAACCCACTGGGTGCAAACAATTTCTGAGGGCCATCGGACTGGGTAAAACCTGAATTAACCGTGGTGCACTTGCGGGAAACTCCTTGCCGAGGGCCTGTGCACCCCTGGGATTAGTCGGGGCTCAAAGAGACTCAGACACCCGGTGCAAATCAAAAAAATAAATATAGGTAACTGATTAAGAGTATTTTTTCTTCCTTACTAAAACTTCATAATATAAATTATTTTAATTTTATAAATTTATCAACAAAAAAATTATATAATTATTAATTTTACTTTATAACCCTATATACACATGTGACAAATGACAAATCAAGATGCACGACGATGAACTTTTTTAAAATTTTTTTAAGTTGAACTCCAAAAAATACGTTTGATAATAAAATTTTAAAATTTAACTTGAAGTTAAGTTTCAGAATTATCAAGAATTTAAAAAATATTTATTTCAAATTACTCACAAAAAATAAAAGAATATCTCTAATTTATATTCATGAATTCAAATATCTTTTTCACTTTAATCAAAATAATAATTATTTTTTTCAAATTTTATAATGAATGAGGAATAAACCGCCCTAAATAACATGCTTTTAGTAGGGATATTCGGGTCATAAATGCATGTTTTTAGTAGGGACATTCGGGTCGGGTTGACTTGATGAAGAGACTATCTTTTCATGTCCTTTGTTGATGCTAAGCTAAGTTGTAAAAAGCAAAAGCATAAATTACAGAAAGACAAAAGGGAGAATTCACCATCAACTTTCTTATCAGGTTCTCTCTTCAACCCCTATTTGTTTTTTTTTTGTGTGTTTTTTGTCAAAGGTTATTTTATACTGTTTTCAGTTTCTTGAATAATGAAATAATTTCCCAGGTCCAAGATTATTCAGTTGTTCTTCTATTTGAATGGTGTTAAGTGGGTTATCAGCTTTAAATCTTTACTATATGGAGTAATAGTGACTTAGAGATGATATTGACAATCAGCTGTGGCAGAGGCACGATTTCACTTAGGGGTTCAACACTACTCTTTATACATACATAAAAAGAAAATTGATCTTGAATATACCGTGTGCCTTTCAGGCGAACCCTGCTTGTCCTTGACCATCAGGAATTTTGTGCATGTCCATTTGAATTACAGAATTGGAAGTATAATAATGATTAGGGGGAAGAGAGAAAAATAAAAGATAGAGACTCTGTGATTGGAATGTGAATGATACAATTACAGTGAATAGTGAATTACAGAGAAATTCCAGGAGTAATCTCGAGGAATATGAACAGCTAGTTCCAGGATTAAACCCGAGAAATCAGCTAAAGAGAAAAAATATAGAGAGAAGAGAACAATCTTATTATCAATGAATGAATGAATGTCAATGATCTAATACAATCCTTTTATAGGCTCCTAGAGATTGCTAAAACAGTTAAAATCCACAGCTACAATAATAACAAAATTTAACCGTCTAACAGTGCTAACTGTTCTAACTAACTTTTGGACTTGTTAACACAATTTGCCATATCAGCGATTAGTTATCGATTAGTTCTCCTTTTGCTAACTTGTATCAATACCCCTCCGTAAAGAACAGACTTGTCCTCAAGGCTGAAGAGAGGGAAATCTATGTTGCAATTCAGAAAGATATTCCCAAGTTGCCTGATCAGCTTCCAAACCTAACCACTGGACAAGCACTTGACACACAGCTTTGTTACCCTTCTTAACCAACCTCCTCTTAAGTATAACTTCAGGCGTCGGACAGTAGGGACTGGAAAGTTGTAGGACTGGAGGATGAGAAATGTCCCGAGGCACCTCATGGCATCTCTTGAGCTGAGAAACATGAAAAATGGGATGGATCAACACATCAACAGGAAGCAACAATTTATAGGCCACTGCACCAACCCGTGCGTCAATGATATAGGGGCTATAATACTTTGCTGCTAGCTTGTTGAAAGGTCGAGCAGCCACTGAAACTTGTCTACAAGGTTGCAGCTTCAAATACATCCAATCACCAACTGCAAATACCCTGTCTGATCTATGTTTGTTAGTCAAGTCCTTCATCCTTTGTTGTGCCCGATTGATTTGAAACTTAAGCAACTCAATAATTGCCTCTCTTGCTTCCAAGGACCTGTCAACCATCTCGTTAGCAGCTTCTCCAACCAAATAAGGGAGATGAATAGGTGGTTTTTGACCATAAAGAACTTCAAAGGGCATGCATGTGATAGCAGTGTGATAAGTGGTATTATACCACCACTCTGCAAGTGGTAGATAGGAGGGCCAAAGCAGAGGTTTGTCTGAGCAAAAACACCTCAAATAGGTTTCCAAAGTTCTGTTCAGTACTTCAGTTTTCCCATCAGTCTAGGGTGATATGCAGTAGATCGTTGCAACTGAACTCCTTGTAGAGTGAACAACTCCTTCCAAAATGAGCTGAGGAAAACAGGATCCCTATCACTCGTTAAGGTAACAGGCATACCATGGAGTTAAGGATGCTGCAAGCTCATGAAATGGCCACATTTACTAAGCCAATCCACAACCACTAATATCACATCCTTGCCCTTAGCTTTAGGGAGACCTTCAATAAAATCAAGACACACATCAGTCCACACTCCTTTAGGAATGGGCAGGGGTTGTAACAACCCTGGGTAAGCAGCAACATCATACTTGTGCCGTTGGCAAACATCACACTTGTGGATAAAGTTTCTAATATCCTGAACAAGAGACTTCCAATAAAATAATGATTGCGATCGTTCATAATAGACATTCCTTTCATCAATTTCTGTAACTGGGTCTGAATCTGGTGAAGCTTGTCCTCTGCTTCCTCTTGACTTTTGTTGCACGTCATCAGATCAATGCCAAGGATTGCTTGCTCTGATACCAATTGATACAATTACAGAGAATTACAGAGAAATTCTAGCAGTAATCTCGAGGAATATGAACAACTAGTTCAGGGATTAAACCCAAGAATTCAGCTAAAGAGAAAAAATATAGAGAGAAGAGAACAATCTTATTATCAATGAATGAATGTCAATGATCTAATACAATCCTTTTATAGGCTCCTTGAGATTGCTAAAACAGTTAAAATTCACAGCTACAGTAATAACAAAATTTAACCATCAACAGTGCTAACTGTTCCAACTAACTTCTGGACTTGTTAACAGAATTTGCCACATCAGCGATTAGTTATCGATTAGTTCTCCTTTTGCTAACTTGTATCAGTGAATGGGGTAAAAATAGATGTGACTTTCATTATTAGACTTGGATACTATATCATGTACTCGACTAACAAAAAATGGTTCAATTGGTGCCATAAGCATTAAGATTTCTGATCCTTATATACCTTTAAGTATGAGCTCATTGTTCAGAAGATGCAAGTGACGGAAATGAGGATGTTGAGATGGATTTGTGGGCATATTAGGAACGATAGAATTAGGAAGATATCAACAACAAAGTGGGAGTGGCCTCCGTGGTGGACAAGACGAGGGAAGGGAAACTGAGATGGTTTGGATATGTGAAGAGGAGATATGCAGATGCCCTAGTAAGGAGCTATGAGAGGTTGGATATAGTGGAGTTGATGAGAGACAGAGGTAGGCTGAAGAAATATTGGGATAAGGTGATTAGGAAAAATATGACGCATCTTCAACTTACCAAGGACATGACCTTAGATAGGAGGGTATGGAGGTCGCATACTAGTGTAAGATGTTAGTAAGTAGTGAATGATTGTTTTTGCTTTTCGAGGGTTTAGGCCCGTCGGTGTTTGTCGTTGTACTAGCCATATTATTATAGTTCTTGCTTTTGATATCTTATCATTGACTGTTGTTTAGTGTGTTTCGATTATCACACTATTTTGTTGTGTCTTTTCCTTTCCTCTAGGCTTTTCACTGCTTCCCTTGTTAGTTGCTATGTTTTCTACATTGTTTTCTTCTTCTTTGTACTTGGATTTCTTGTTCTTGAGCTGAGGATCTTTTGGAAACAGCCTCTCTACTTCCACGAGGTAGTAGTAAGGTTTGCCTACACGGCACCCTCCCCAGACCCCACTTGTGGGATTTCATTGGACATGTTGTTATTGTACTAATGCAGACCTTTGCGTACTCTAGTTAGTAATGCAGGCCTTTAAGAAAAACAGAGTGAAGAGTCTGATTATTCCTAGATGTTGTGGAAACCTTTTTTGGGTTACACTTTTTGCATGGCTTGCTGCATTGAGCTGTTAATATATGATACCTAGAGTAGCATAAGCTTGCTTCTAGTGTTTAGTGTTGCTAGGTAACTTTTGCAAATCTGAGCACGACTGACTTCTGTTTTGAATTCCTTGCAGTTTATGGCTGGTGGAGTATGTTTCCAGACTAATGTGCATACAGTTTCACAGACTTCTCCTTCTCCGGGAATCTCCTTGATACATAATTTTCCTCATGAAGCTGAAATCTCAAGTGTCTCAAGTACTGATTCATCAAATGGTCCGTCAAATTATTCACGCAATGTGCAGGCAGCATTTGGGCCTCTCAATGATGTACATATAGTAAGTACTCACTTTATTTTGCCTTCTGAAATATAACCCACAGTAACCTAAATACTTTGCTTCAACTATTTCCTCCCATGGTACCAAAACCCAGGGTGCCGTGCAGAGCGTACAAGGTCATGCATGATAATAAATCCTTGACGAGGTAACACTTTTTTTTTCCTTAGCCGACAAGGTTGATGGAGAATTTTCTGGAAATCGCCAGCGACAACACTAAGAAGGATATAGAGACCTGTGGAGTTCTTGGTGCCATCATTGTAAGATCACTAGTATTCATTTTGCTTTCTGGAATGATACTTTTAAGACCATCGTTGAATGATGAGGAACACCAAGTGCTCTAGATTTTGCATTTTTAATGACTGGTTATGGAAATTTTAAGTGATGCATTGTACCCTTCGGGGTGGCCCTGTGGCTTGGGTTTGGGACTTCCAAGTTGGAGGTCTCAAGTTCGAAACCCCTTGCCAACGAAAGCAAGGGGTTTGCCTTGTGGGTCAAGCTCGTCGCACCAGGCTTGCCTAGTGCGGGTTACCTCTCCTGCGTGGTTTGCGAGCTATTGCATAGGAGCGGGGGTTTTACCCTATGCGCACCCAAAGGGTAGCGGCTGCGGGTTTCCCTTGTCATAAAAAAAACAAGAAAGAAGAAATTTAAAGTGATACATTGTAGAATGTTAAACCTGTAAATTTTTAGTCAATGTGTTCTGGAGCATTTGGCATCAAACCTTAACAATATGACTCAACGTAAATTTTTTCCATTTGAAGTAGTATTGGTCCTTTGAGCTAAAGACTACTGGAGTTCTCCATCTCTGCTTGATTATCTCATCCTTTCAAACACATCCAAGCGAGAGCTCATTCTAGCGCTGAATAAAACTGTGTTCTGTTCTGATACTATTATATTATTAGGACACAAATTTTGACTGTTCTTTTGAAATTGAAAGTACTTCCATTGGCTAACTAACTTTATAGCAAGAAACTGGTTTTTAAGTCGGACATATTTAAGTACACCAATTTATTTTCCCAGTATAAACAATGCTTTTATCTTCTTTTATTCCTTTACTGCTATTCAAGCTTTTAAGTTAGAAATCTTCAGAAGTACTTGTATTATATGATCAATTCCTAGATGATATTCAGATCACCGATGCACTTTCTCCTAATCTTCTGCTTCTCCAAAGTACTCAGGTACTGATGATGTTGGATTGTTGAGTGACTTTTTGTAATTGCTAATACTAATCCTACAAGTTAAAGGGAGTGAGAGGAGAGATTAGGTAGTGGAGATAAAGCACCTCAAATAATTTTTTATGAGTAGTCATCATATAACATTATAACCCAAAAGAGGAAAGGAAGTTCTCATAGATTTGGAGAAATTTCCTAAAGCATTTGAATTGCTTCACTCTGAAGGGAAAACAAGGTATTTGTGAAATATCAGAATGATACATCTAAAGTATATCATATGCAATGATGGAAATTTTTCCTTTTAGATGCAAATCATTTGAATATTGCAGCTGGTAATAGTTGAACGGAGCCTAGAAGAACAAAATTAGTGATGCATAGGTTGATATGGATGTTCTTCTGAGGTGAGTGAGGGACTGTCTCAAATTGAAGTACTAAGGTTGGACTTGGAAAATGGTCTCTAACTATGACAAGCCTCCAAACTATACAACTGGTAACAGTTGAATGGAGCTCTGTGGAAAAAAAAAACTAGTGATGCATAGGCTGATATAGATGTTGTGCGAGGAACTGTCTCAAATTAAAAATACTATGGTTGGGTTAGAGAATGGCCTCTCACTGTAACAAGTCTATACTTCATGCCTCCAAGGTATGCAACTCTTATGTTCCATCAAGGCATGCAACTATTCAGAACCTCTTTGTACTCAAAAGTATGTTCAAAAAGAGACATACCTCAATCCTGCTAATGAACCTCACGCGCAAACCCCGATGTTCAACAATTGATCTGTAGAGTTTGTCCTCAAAATATCCCTTCAAAGCTACTGGATCGAGTGCTTGAAATCTATGGATTTGGATGATAATTTGGGTGTTAATTCACGATAAAACAATGTTATGATCACAGGGATAGAGTAACAACTCACCTTTGATGTTTGGATTAGGCTCTAGGGTGTTTTATCTCCAAGAAGATCATCCAAAAGGAAGGGGAACAAAAATCCCGACCTAACACGTATTAATAGAGCACAGTCCACAGCTGACCGGGAAGAGCAGGTCTGCATGCCACAATGGCCATCGCGTTGAACCTGACACCACGTCCCACTATACATCTCGGTGAATCTCAGTGCAATGGGCAGTGCGCCTCACTAAGGGGTCGTTTGGTAGAGTGTCTTAACAAAAATAATGCATCATTATCTTTGTGTATTAGTAGTCCCTTGTTTGGTACACTTTTTCCTACTATGTATGACTAATGCTTGCATTAGTTATACACTCTATTGTGTATTGAGGAGTGTATTACTAATACCATGGTTCTAGGTATTAGTAATGCAAAGGGATTTAATACATGCATTAACATGGTTAAAGACTAAACTACCTCTCAAAAGCAGTTTTAGATCTTTTACACCATATTGTGGAGGATATTTTTGTACAATGCATACTATTTTAATACATCAAACCAAACAATGCATAAAAAATATCTATGCTTAACTAATGCAAGCATAACTAATACAAGCATTACTAATACACTCTATTTAACATTATTCTTATACACTCTACCAAACGACCCCTAAAGGTTTTGGGCACCCCCACACTTCAAATACTTTCGAATTATTTTTATTTCTACACATTCACCGCGCCACACCGCCCGTCGTGGTGACTTTCAGTGCAATGGGCACTGCACTGCCCATTTCTCGAACACTTAGAAGAATTTTCAATGCTCGATTTATAGTAAACACTCATAACTTTTTGTACAGTGTTCTGATCGGTGAATGGCTCGAATTGTTGGAACCCAAACTCAATTTCCTTAACTAGGATAGATCTCACCTCCCATACGAAATTATTCATGGTCCAGGTTGAATCACACACATTTAGCTAGTTCATACATAACCCAAACTTATGGATGTTACAAAGATGTTATCCTTGTGGCAGTAGTTATTGTTCCATCTCCGAAGCACCCTTATATGTTTGTAGTGATGACTTCTCTTGAAGTAGAAACTACACAGCTCATTCAGTGGATTCAGTGGCTGTATTATGTTACTTTAGTCCTATTTTTCTATTAGAATATTTAGGAGATGCTTTCTAGGACCATGTTCGTTGGCGGTTGCTTTGTTTATTTTGGGGCATCAACTATGTACCTGTTTAACGACACCTTTTCTGCAAACTTTCTTCCTTTTCTTTTTCTTTTTGAGAGGTAAACTATTTACCTCTTTATTGGCACCTTTATACAGACTTTTCTTCCCCTTTTGGCATTGAGAAGGTTAGGGTTGATTGAAACTGAATTTTTCATGCACTGACTTTTGGCAATTTCCCCGTATAATCATGCAGAAAGATGACACGTTTTATACTACCTCTCTAATAATACCAAAACAAGAATCAACCTCCAATTCTGTAAGTAATTAAACATTTGAAAATTGTTGTTTTATTCATGGCCAATTTGGTAAGCAGAACAAGATTCTAACTTATTTGTACTTGCTGCTAGTGTCAAGCCCTACAAGAGGAGGAGATGTTTGCCATACTACATGGACAATCCCTCTTTCCAATCGGATGGATTCATGTAAGTTCTCTCTCTTTCTCAATTTCCTTTAATGTGCTTCGTATATATTTGGATGAAATTTCTCTAATTCCTATATGTAATGCTCATTAATCCTGAAATTAAGGTGATAAATAATTGAATAAGAGCTGAATTTTAAGCGACTTAATGCATTTGGCGTCAAACCTGTACATTACTTGTTAATGGAGAATTACGTAACTTACTGAATAGAATAGGGGAATTTAAATATACAACTATGCTATATACAATCTAGAGTGATAACAAAAAACTTACGATGATATTAAAGAGTAAGGGGAAAAAGATCAATCCATCCATAGTGGAGGAATTTTGGTAAATTTATCGTGAATATGACCTTCCTTCCCATAAAGGGAGTTTCTTGTTCCGTTTCTAACAAGGATGATGAGCAACAATGACATGAATTCAATACTAACAAAAAAGGTAAGCCCAACGCTATGTTTCAATAACAATGAAGGGCTATTATACTAGAAGGAAAGGGCTTCAGGAGAGATTGTTAGATTGGATGGGTGTAGTCGATCGATCGAACTATGATGATTGGAATGAAGACAGATAACATGCTGCAAACTCTGGTTTGAGTTTCTTTTGTCTTCCATAAAATGAGATTCAAGAGTTTTTCTGAGTAAGGTAACATATTCATCAGCACAAAGATTGTGCTGGCAACTGTAAAACACAAAGATTGACATTCAAGAGTTTGAAGAACCTTTAATCTGTTCATATGGGACTTTATGTTCTGTAACTTAAATAACATCGAGATGATTAAATATGTAAGAAAATCCTGAACTCCACTATTATAGAATCTTCAGAGAATGTGTTAGAGCTATTATATGGTTTGAGTTTCAACAAGGATGATTTTTGTCTGTTGTAAGCTTCATCTTTAATAGTCTACAGGGAAACTTTAAATATGAACTGGCTAGTTCGAATTGATTGTTAAGTTCAGTACTCTTATTTCCATTATCCTTAAGGTAATAACTGAAAACATGTAATTGAAAATCAACTTTTATTGCCATTGGCTTCCTTCTTTGTACTTTCCTATGTCTAGTTCACATGTTTCGGCAATTACATAGCTAAGGGCATGTAGGTCGGCATAACTTAATGTGTGACACTTCTATCATATCTCCAGACACATCCGTCTCAGACCTGTTTCATGTCATCGATCGATTTGCACACTCAATATTCGTATCAGGTACGTTTACTCCTGATGGATTTATACCTTTGTGCATTTCATTATTGGAGATAATTCAAACGTTGAGAATGTAATGGATGAGATTACTTTATTCTGTAGGTTTGTGATTGATAGAACCGAGTTACAGGTATAACTTGTGGTACAAGATATGATTGGAATAGCTAAAATTATTTCTGTAAATTATAGATAATATGTGTGTCAAACTAAGAAAATGTTCCTTTTCTAGCTTCCACACTTTTCACTTACAAGTAAAACTGAATATTTCTATCACAGAAATCAGCATAGTTCCACCATTCTTGGAAACACTGAAGAAGGTAGGCAAACCAAAACTATAGTGCAATGCGTGATTTAGTAGAAATAGTAACTTTGGTCTTTGAATTTGTACAGTCGTACAGGAGCACAGAAATTTAAATCTAAAATATTGGGAGTTCACATGTTTATGCTGCACTTTTAAACTGAGAGATCAAGAAACTCTGCCTACCAAATGAACATATGATTCATTGTACTTAGTTACTTTTGAAACACTAACCTTGATTAATTGTGAATAGGGAGTCATTACTCGCGTTTTATGTGCTATAAATTTAGAAGAGCAAATTTAAATGAAATTAGCAGTCTCATACTTCTTTTTTTCTTTCCATTTTTACCATCCACCTGTCAACTCAATAGTTCACTTTAACAACTTCAATTTATAGGACAATGTCTCAACTTCAAATTTATACCTATGTCCATTTGGAATTGAACTCATCAAGCCATTTCTTGTGTTAAGACTGTCAAGAAGTCACATAAATTATATCAACTAAAGCAGTTTTCTTAACATTCTACATTTAACATATTGCATTCAGCATTACTTCCCAAGATTTCCCACTAAACTTATGTGAAGTTATTGTGCTGCAATACACTTTGGCATTGTTATAATTTACCTCTGCGCTTTTTGCTGTATCTTTTCACTTCCTGATATTTATTTTTTAGGTCATGGTACCTGAGGCTATTGGAATTGTCATGGCTCCTACCGATACATCAAGGTCTTTTTCTTGTTCTTAGCTCATTTAGTCCAAGAGTACTTGTCAAGTTGAGAGTAGTTTGAAACACAGAGATAGCCATAACTTATTTATCTTTATTTGGAATGTGTTAGGGCATACGGAATATTTCGGCTATCTGACGGTGGAAAGAAAATCCTCAAGGACTGCCCAGAGAAAGGATTTCATCTTCATAAAGAACCAGTTGATGGGAGTCCCCTCTACGGGGATTGCTCCAATGTCTATATTAATTCATGTCTAAGACTAGAGATATTTGATTTACGGTGACCAGATGAAGTAGAATTTATGTCCTGTTGAAATGCAAGCAGACTGTCAAAACTACAGTGATAAAAGAACTAGTAAATGTTGTAATGATTTAAGATGAATAAAAATCTGTGGTGTTGGTGGAGGGAAAATTGAATCTTACACTGTAGTATAGGGGCACAATTGAATCATTTTGTATATTGTAATGGTAGATCTGGTCCACTTTAATTTAATTATTGCCAATCAGTGCAACCACTGGTGTAGATTATATGGATCATCTCTTTTTTTATATTTTTAATTTAATTCTTGGTATACTTTTCTTATGCTAAAAGATGAAATAAGTGAACTACACAAATCACACTACTTTAGATCCTAATTACTAGAATTTACGATAGTTTTTTATATTACTTTTTATACCATTTTTCGGCCTTTGGATACATGTACCATTATATGTCAGAAACATGTATCCATAAAATTTAATAGGCGAAATATACTATTTATTACATTTGAATTAAAGACTTGTAACTTATTTCCTTCATTAAAGGAGTTAATGATGAATAATTAACAACCAAAATGGAGTTAATATCTTAGACGGTCACTCAATTTTGAATAGTTTACTTAGAAAGTCACTCAACTTTGAGTTGTTCACTTGGAAAGTCACTCAACTATTGGTGTTTCACTTTAACAGTTGATTGAAGCTCTGTACTAGTGATTCATAGGCTGATATAGATGTTGTGCGAGTAATTGTCTCAAATTAAAAATAATATGGTTGAGTTAGAGAATGATCTCTCACCGTAACAAGTCTATACTTCTACTCTCCAAGTTATGCAACTATTATGTTCCATCAAGGCATGCAACTATTCAAAACCTCTTTGTAGTCAAAAGTATGTTAAAAATGAGACATACCTCAATCTTGATAATGAACCTCACGCGCAAACCCCGACGTTCAACAATTTATATGTATAGTTTGTCCTCAAAATATCCCTTCAAAGCTATTAAATCGAGTTCTTGAGATCTATAGCTTTGGATGATAATTTGTGGGTTAATTCGCGATAAAACAATGTTAGAATCACAGGGATAGAGTAAGAACTCACCTTCGATGTTTGGATTAAGCTCTAGGGTGTTTTCTAGTAAACTCATACTAGTAGTGTCAAGCCCTACAAGAGGAAGAGATGTTTGCCATACTACATGTATTGGGACAAAAGGAGTAACATATATTATTTGAAAATTATGTAAAGAGTACTATAAATCACAATAATTAATAACTTAAAATATTTACAAATCATAAAAAAAAATTAATTAACTCTTCAAATTTCATCAGTGTCACATAATTTGAGACAAAATGTGTAACATATATTGGATCCGTGCTGGCACAGACTCCAATAACTAGAGAAAAATCTGAAATAATGAATTGATTTGAGTTTTAGATATGATTACTGTATAAATATTTTTTTGTAGGTACTTGATTTTTGTATAAGCAAAAATTGAAACTATCCTTGGGTAATTGAGTAATCAGCAATCAACATGAGTCGTGTCAGATTTTTCGTAGTCTTTTAATTTTATTTTTATTTGCAGCAGCCTAAAAGTGGAGTACTACCTACCTGGGGCTCATTGCTAGCTAATTCAAATGCCTTTTTACAAACTTATTTCTCAATTATTAAATATGGAAGTTATTTGAAAGTAACAACTTAAAAAAACGTTTATTGGGTAAACTGAAGAGACGCCGCCGCTGACCACAAATCCTACCGCCTATAACCTAGTTTGCCGACGTTCCGATGGCCGCCATGGCCAAGGGCCAACCTCCCCCTGGGGATGGCACTTTGGCAGTCACTACAACACTTACATATGCTGATTCTTTGAGACAACATAAAGCGCACAGTAAGGCTTTACCTTTGAAACCACTAACCTTTTTACATGGAGAACCACAAGTAATATGGGATTATGAAGAAGTGACTCAGATGATTGTCAATGAGAATTTAGAATATGCAGTAATAGGTAAGTTCTCTTATGGCTGGCCCGACATTCAAGAATTGCGTAGATTAATTCCTAAACAATGTGAATTGAAGGGCGATTGCAACATTAATAAGGGCTACTTTATTAGAGGACTATGTTCACCTGCTTTCGAAACCAGCTTTTTACATCAGTCACAAAAACTGGTCATTCCCAATGCGAACCCTTAAATGGGATCCCATGTTTAATACAGAGGAGGAAACAACGACAGCTATTGCGTGGATCTCTTTCCCGTCCCTTCCCCCAAATTTCTTTGGACATGAAGCAATTTTTTCCCTAGCTGCTGCTGTAGGGAAACCACTACAGGTGGACATGGCAACACGAAATCAGACTAGACCAAGTTGTGCTAGAGTGAAGGTAGAGGTTGATCTGATGAGACAATTCCCAAAACGCATCAAGATAGGAATGAGACAACAAAGTGGAGAAGTAATGGAGAAATGGATCAAAATAAAATATGACTATGTTCCAAAATATTGTCAAACATGCATGATCCAAGGACATAATGAAGAACAGTGCTACGTGGTACATCCAGAGCTATATCCAAAAGAAAAGATAGGACAGAATGCAGGGCAGAGACAAGAGGAAATAAAGAAGAATAATGAAGGTAGGAAGGGTGAAGCATCTGATATGAATGCAGGCTTACAGAGAGATAAGAATGAGGGTGAATTTATGGAGCAAAGACACAAAAAATGGGGAGGAGGAAGAAATAAACAACAAGAAAAGGTGTGGAGCAGGGTAGGCATAATAACTGGAAATAAATTCAACATGTTAGCCCAAGAGGATCAAAATAAAAATGAGCTTCCTGAGGAGGACAGTCAACACATGGAGGAGACAAGAGCAGACTCTCCTGGGGCACGTATGAGTGATAACATGGAGAAAATAAATAAGCCGCATGGGAGGTTAATAGGGGATAATTTGCTGGAGGTGAGCAGCACTTCAAACAGAGAAAATGTAAACACTACAACATTCAGAGGTGATAGTCACAAGGAAGATAAAACACTAGGGAAGGAAGTCTTGGGGGGCATTTCCGCTACTCACAACATTGGAGGACATAATATCGAAAGGGGGGGGGGGGGAAAATAAGAATGATAATATT